AAATGCACACTGAATGCCAAGTTAGAGAGAAAATAGCTGAAGTATGGGTTATAAAAAATATAAGATCTGTTTGATAATTACATTTCTACACATTAAGTGAGGAGTTAAAATAAGCAATAGGCAGAATCTTCATTTTTCAAGCATCTTGAAGTATTTTAAATGGAGGAATTTTCATACATAAAAAGAAGCCAACAAAAGAACCCTAAACTGGTTTTGAAATAAACAGAGAAAGGAATCCTAATTCGCATTTTTTAACTAGGGATTTCAGCGGAACTGAAATTCCTGAAAAGCATTTTGCCATGTTGAATCATTTAGATCAGATATAATTATCAGATATAATAAAATTATAATTCACCAGAAAATTCAATTCTCTATTCCAAAATGTAGATTTATCCACTTACCACCAGCTGCTTTTCTTTTCCCATAACTGACCTTGCCATCAAAATCATCCACTGGGATTTTAATATCTGGCTCAACCTGAGTAATGGTGCAGTTCAGATGCTCTTCTACTTCACCTAAAAGCTGAATGCCACAAAATGGAAAGAAAATCCAGGCTGTAAAGTCATCTCCAATTCTCCATGACAGACAATGCAATGGATGGATTTAAATAATACCCTTGGCTTTTAGCTGTGATTAGTTGAACAACACACACTGCCAAAGTTTATACATCTCATCAAGCATTAGCACCGAACAAACCATGATACTGTTTAGGACACTAAATTGATCTCAGGAATTACTGATATCAATGAATTAATAAACTTGAGAGTAATTGTCAGTAATGTCTTAGAAGCAAACAGTACGAGGAAGAAATCAGACCTTATGGCTAGGCTGTATATATGACGTATGCATGTATCTGCACAGTACTGTAATTTATTTAAGGCAAATACAATATTTTGAAATAAATTAAGAACTTTGCAAATTATAAACTTTGCAATCAATGAGATTTAGAAGGTTAGGGTACTCCCGATCTTCTAGGAGTCGCTAGGAATAAGAAATGATACTTAAGCACAAACTAATTGTCTTGTGTTATATTCATAGAATGAATGCTAGCAGAATTTTAACACTGAGTTTGCAAAATGATAAATGTTTATCTGAAATTGAATTAAATTATACCAATTGTCATTTCATTTTGTGATACTCGTTATAATCTCAAAAGACCAAAATCTACTTTAGCATTACAGGCAATTAATGATAAATGAGATGGAGCTCCATATTGTATTTTTGTGAAAAGAAGATTTTTCTGCTTAGAAATCATTTCCTGCAGAAATGGGGATACTATTTGTCACTCCAAACTCCTCCTAATCAGATTCCTCTAATTCCTCAACCCTTCTACACCATTTGAAGGACATTCAGACAAAATGTCACCTAGTTAGCCTATAGTTGTCAACCCTGAAGTGAACCTGGCTGGGGCCATCTTGGAGGCCTCAGGGTTGTCATACAACAGAGGGGGTGGTGGTGGTGGAAATAGTTAGATTGGGTTTTGTAGCCAAAACAATAAAGTTTTCCCATTGCATATGAGAGAAATGCTGGGTTATTATATTAGTATGTGTTCTTTGCCCAAGTGAAATCAAATGTTAAGACTTTTTCTCTTGGTTTTAGATTAGGGTTTGTTACTGGTAAATGCCGCTCCAGCATACCTTAGCATAGTCATAAAAATTTTGATGGCTCGGAACAAATCTAAAGGTTTTCCAAAAATCACTACTGTACATTTCCACTGAAAATTTCATTTTCATTTTCATTTATTAAAATTTATAGGCCGCCCTTTTCCCTGAGGGGACTCAGGGCGGCTTACAATCACAAGGGAGGGGGG